AGAGAAACAAATGGTTATTATTTTGGACCGAATCCAATTTACCACACCACGTGTTCTCAAGCGTCAAAATCGGTGAGGTTAAGTACATGCAATTGGGGGGGAAGGTGTCAACAACCTTAAGATTTTTTTTCCATGAATAACATCTGTATAATTACCGTGCTCGTATGGGGAGAATGTGCCTGCATCGAGATTGATGTAGGGGTCGATCTTGATGGAGGTCACTTCGATACCGCAACATTTCAGGATGGTACCAAAAGAACTCGAAATTACACCTTTACCCACACCGCTGATGACGCCTCCGGTAACAAGGATATATTTCATGTCCGACATCATTGAAACAAATCGAATTGGCTGGTCAAATTAAGGGTAATCAACTTTCTCACGTGTTGCTCTTCCGCCTACTAAAATCTACCCGTCAACTCTGAACCCTATGTAAGTTTCGATTGGTTGCTATTGGTTACATACGCATGAGTTTTACTTCTGGTACCGCCCACTTTAAACGCTGCAGCATCAAGCAACCAACATTACAGAAAAATTCAAAGTTCTAAACTTTACAGAGACCCTTCATAAATGAATGAGACATATCAGTGTTTTTCAACCTTTTATGTTAATGTTGATATGAATATTTATTGTCCGTCTGTTCATAATCATTTTATTAATTGCGCTTTAAAATATTTCGTAACAAACCTATAATTACGATAAAATACTGAAAAACAATATTTGTACCACCTTTCGAGCATATACACACAACAGATTTTAAGAACTTATTTTACTAGACTAGTTGTATTTTTTGATCAAGGGCGTACAAACATCTCATAATTTAATTTCAATGTATAGTGGAACCTCGCTTAACGATCATTTTGCTTAACGAGCAACGTTTCGCATAACGAGTGACGATGAGAAAAGAAGTCCCGGAATGCGCGCATGCTACATCATTTTTAAAACTTGTGTTCATATATTAAGTGTATTTTTAAATATGTTTCACTATACGAGTAAAAATCCAGAAATTTTGAAACGGATTAAACTCGTTAAGCGAGGTTCCGCTGTATATATGTTTATAAATTGATCGTACAATTCACACAGTAAATACAATCAGCTTATTGTAATATACAAAAGATTATAAATGGAATTTGCTGACATAGTTGAAAACATATCAGTGTAAACATAACTAATTGCAATATCAATAAATTTCGTCAAGAAGATGATGATAGATATCAATTGTACTGTTGAGTCCACAATATTCGATGGAATTTTACAACGAAGAAGTACATCAAGGGCCAGGTAGAGAATACAGATAATATCTTCCCGTCCAACTATAGACTTTCAAAGCAAGAACCCATCTACCTGTTTTCTTTTCAGTAATTCCTACGAACCATCATCGTTCTTCCGCATTCCTTCTGTAACATATAATTAAAATCTTCACCACATTGAGATATTTTCCTATAAAGTTTTTAAATATATTATATAGTAAACATCACTTCAATGTTTTTTCTATAGATGAATAGTTATTAGTTATATAAGATAAATATAAATATTTGTTGTTACCATAGCAATACAACCTTTAATTTTTTTAAATAAATATTAGACATTATTTATTGCAGTATTTATAATTACTTATTTTTCTTCCACGCCTTACAACTTCGCTTAGCTTACGTCTAAGCGCAATTCCGCCAGCGACTGTTTTCTTGTTATACTCAGTTATACTTATGTAACTCTATTAAATTCTTCCTAGAGGGAAAAAGCAGGAGGAAGAAAAAAAACTAATAAAGATTATTACTGCTACTGCGTTTGTTACTGGATGGGATTGGAGAGAATGGTGATCAACAAGTGGCGACAAAGCGAAACAAAAAGTAACAATTTTCAAACCGGGACTTGACACGGGTCATAGAAGAAACTGGAAAAAACCTCGAGAGAACATTTTCACTGGAAGATGCTTGATCTATACCTCTATGTTGGCTGTCTTGATGAACTTTCTAATCGCCCTATATACTACTGCGTTTTATGTGCCCATTAAATATTTAATAGACGTGGGGACGCGTTCTGTAACTGCCTATAAAGTTCTTCTGTGGCTAGGAGGTTTTGAACGCATGCAAAGAAGATGTGATCCAGAGATGATGCAAACTAGACAATTTCTTTCGCATATTCTCAGAAAATTTAAATTTTCTTCCTATGTTTTGTGGCTTTTCTTTTGGTGGTCAAAAGTGTAGTGTACTTTTGTAAACTATTGTTGTGTTCAATCACTTTATTGTTAATTTTTGTTAACTATATATAAATTATTATATATTATATTTGTATCTTGATACAGAATTACTAATGTTTAACATTGTTGCTGCAACATATTAAATTATAATATCATTATATTGTTCATGAAAATTATTGAATTCTGTTTAAATCTTTATTTAATTAACTGAATTAAAAAAAATCGAAGCAGGTTCTTAATTCACAAGTTTAAATTTGTTTTTCAGTTAAATTAATCATTTAGTAATTAAATTAAGCGCGGCTTTACTAAAACATTGAAGAAATTACACAATTGAAAATTGATTTTTAATTTTCGTTATGTTTTCTAACCTGCTAGTTCAAATTGAAAACTTGTAAACCATTGTAAACATACGACCGTTATTACTGAAAACTGATTAACGAACCGGTCACAATAAAAAAAATATAGTGCTGATACATCAATAAGAATGGGAGACAGCAGCAGAGATCCGAGTCTTGTGCAGAACTTGAAGGGCCACAAAAAGACTATAAATGCATTGAGGTATCTTCCAAACCAGAGGGATCTGCTGAGCTGCAGCGATGACCACAACCTGATGCTATGGAATGTGTCAACGAAGGATGCCAGGAGTTTCAAGTTCAGCGGACACACACAGCAAGTGACTGATCTGGATTACACGAGCAGTCGTAATTTGATTGCCTCATGTTCATATGACAAAACAGTGAGGATATGGGAGCCAACTGTGAAAGGCAGTTGCACACAGTTCATTGCACATTTCTCACCTGTACGAACCATCAGCTTGTCACCAACTGATCAACAGGTATAAATAATTCATTAAGATTATTTTTTTCTTAAAGATAAATCTTGTAGATGGTAACAGGATCAAATGACAAATCAATTAAATTATGGAATTTACCAAAGAAGAAATTTCTTAATTCATTCACGGGACACAATAATTGGATTTTGTGTGCTAGGTATTCGATTGATGGCAAGTATATAGTGTCCAGTGCTGATGATAAGACAATAAAAGTGTGGGATCCAGCCACAAAAGAATGTGTATTGACAATTTCAAATGCAAAAAGTAAGATTGTTTAATAATATTATTTTTGTTGATGATAATAACGTTTATTTTAGGCAGTGCTCTTAAATTATCCATGCATCCTAATGGCACTTCAATAGCTGCTGCCATGGCTTCAGGATCTGTTAGGGTTTATGATATTAGGACAAAGAAATTACAGCAGCATTACATTCTGCACAACAAAGCTAATGATGTTTGCTGGCATCCAATGGGAAAACATATGTTGAGTTGTGGTGACGATGGTTCTATAAAAGTATTAGATGCGTTGGAGGGTAGGCCCATTTATACCTTGAATGGTATGTCAGAAGGGCCAATAACTTGTTTGACCTTTTCACCGGATGGGGAATATTTTGCTTGCGGCGGCGCTAATAAAAATATTATGGTAATATTGCTTATCTCTTCTTTTATAATTAACAATCAACTTCATAAAATTACATTTAAATATAATTGATGGAATTTGAGATTGAGCAAGAATGAAAAATAACTTTTCTATATCTGATTTATGTAGAATAAAATTACATGTGATGTATATAAATCTATTTCGTTCCATTTGTAGTGTTTACTATTTAAACAAAGCAAAAGGAACTTAACAAATAATATGTATACTATACATAATATTTATTTCCATAAAAATAGTAACTTGGATTTTTTTTTTCTTATAACAATTTACAAGTAAATTTACTTGTCTGATCGTTTATTCTTATTTACATTAGCTTAAAGTGAAAAGTTTTTAATGCATTATCTTTCAAGTGATCTAATTGTCTATCAAAGTATTGAAACGTTTAGTATTTGTATAAATAACAAATAACTCGGGTATTTATGTTTGATATTATTGTGTGCTTATATGTAAAATTTAGTATTATAGATTAATAATGAATGTAATTTATTTCAGATTTGGCAAACCAATTTCATTGACTCAGACGAAAACGCGTCGGAAATGCAAAGCTGCAGCAGCATCAATTAATCAACTTCCAAACATTACGTTAATATCATTGTATCATATATATTATTTTTTTAAATATATAAATTAATTAATTTGGGCCTTGTTCTGTATAATTTTCTGCATCATCTCCGACCAGTTAGCCACTTTAACATTGACCAGAGACTTCGGACATGTGACTACCAATTTGACGTTCTCCAATTTATCGCCCTTCGGTTTAATCGATATGAAACCCGTCTCCTCGTCCTCGTGATGTTCGATTCCTTCCTGCACTTCGCAACATCTGCTGCTGATCTCTATACATGTACTCTGCAGCAGTTCCTCGGATACGCACAGCGTCATAGTTCCTTCCTCGTGAATCACTATGCGCGAATTCTTATCCAACCGCGAAATGTGGATATTCGCGCTGCCTTTCTGCATCGCAACGTCCAGAACTCCATCAAATCCAACTGAAGACGAAGGTTATAGGAAAATTAAGATCGCAAATAAAGAGTAATTTACCCATATTCAGAATCCCGTTGTCGCCCATCAAGATTTTACTATTCTTATGGACATTCTGCAAATCCAGAGTGCCTGTTTTGGTGACAAAGTAGCTTTCGTCGCAGTACGAAGAACTGGTCACGATTTTACCGCTGTTACTCTCCAAGTGCAAACCCAAACACTTCAATTTATTTGTCACTATATCCTTGAATTAGAAACTTCAAATAATTAAAAATTAATAATCTTCATTGCTTTGTACCCCTTTAGTAGACTTCAGAACCACTTTAGCAGCTTGCACATCCCCATCAGTCACAATATTCCCATCATTCGTTTTAGCTGTTATATACTCATTTTTGCTCTTTCCTATGGTAACATGACCCTTGTCACTGAATAGCCTCATGGCATCTCCGCAGAAGTTACCCACTGTTAAATCTCCAACTGTTGTGATGTTTAAATCTGTAAATACTCAATTAAATAATCATATACCAATTGGATGTTGTCAATACTTGCTTGCTGTTATTGGGGCAATTATTTCACACAGTACATTGTTCTTGAATTCTGAGCTCTGGTTCTGGATGTTTATTGTTGTGTCTATTTGGTTGACAATGATGTCTTTGTGATCGGGACAGTTGATGATGACTTTATCATTGTTTGGATGATCGAGAGGATCCAATGGTTTCACCACTGTCTTGTACGGAAGGGTCACATTGAGGTGGCATGTAGGTGATACAGTGTACTTCAGTTGCGCCGGATTTTTGCAGTAAGTGCGCGTTGCTAAATAGACCAGGGGCCTCACAATTTTCAACATCTTGCGAAAAAAGAATTTTGTATAACGCGTACAAATATTTCGGCGACACTTTTAGGTTATATCTCAAACTTCAAAACAAATTTTCGTATCCAGCGCCCACTTATTTCGAGCGATTACATTTGGTTGTCTAAATTGCACCATGTGATTCAATTTACTAATTTAATATAATTTATTTAACCTTGACATTGCACGAATTATGTTTCAACAATGTAGACTTTCATTTGTCAAGAAGAAAGTAAACAATTGAAATAATTCTTTAAAAACAATCGAAAAACATTGACTAATAGAAATTTAAAATTTCGAACTTTTATACCAAGTTTAACACTACAAATCGAAAAGTATTTAACAGATAATTAAACAAACTTAACGATATTTAATTTCATCAACAAAAATGTCTTCAATATAGTCTAAGTTTGCTAAATAAGCTTCTTAAATATCTATTCTTGTTGAGATATTCTTTTCATCTAGGAAATCTCCTAAAAGTAACCATTGTAAATAATTTACATCAAATATTCAAAAAATAATTTCTCTGAAATTATAATAGATAGAATTGATCCAAAAGTTGGATATTTTAGAAATGCAACCTATATTCAGTTATTACTGTGGATTCATTAATTTGGCTGTAATTCACGTTGAAAAATGAAGTAATGAAAAATGAACGCTCGGAAAAGCATCTTCACATATTTTTTTTCCACATTCAAAAATGAAGTAATGAAAAATTGTCGCCCAAAAAATCAGGTTTATCAATTTTTTAATTTTTTTTCAGAAACTATTATAGATAGAATGAATCCAAAAGATGAATGTGATAGTAAATAATTGATGAATGTAATGTATATTCAGTTATTACTCTGGTTTCATTCATTTTAATGTCATTCACGTTCAAAAATGAAGTAATGAAAAATAAATTTTTGAAAATACAGTCTTCACATTTTTTAAATTTTCTCAGAAACTATTATAGATAGAATGTATTCAATTATTGCCATGATTTCATTCATAATTGGACAATTTGTATATATCATAGATTTTCTTTTGAAATAATTGTATTTTTTTATTAGGATAGTTGCCTTCTATAACATGTTAATTTTCCATCTGGAAATGAGTAGCACGTTTTTGGAATCATGGTGTTAAATATTATTACAATCTACAAAAAGATGGAAAATATCATAAAATTTCGAACGTAACTAGACTAAATATTTCAAAATGTTTATGTATCATTTATTAGTCATGTGACATCTAATTGTGATTATACATATTTTTTAGAGAAATATAAAAATCTCCATTATTGACAAATAATTCAATGCCAATCAATAATAATAAATAGGTCCAGACAGAACAGCAACACAAAACCTTCGGTATACAGACAGAATTTTGCAATATTGACTAATTTTTTCACAGCTGATATTTTCATCACTCGTTTAAAAGTCTACAATTGTATAATTTCATTCTTACAACTGTCGCAAAGATTGTTTTTAGAATTAATGTTCTGAATCTGTAGTTTATTTAACTGAAACTCAACACAACCCAATACAGAAAACTTGTCTGAGTCATTGAATTTAGTAGATGATGATCAGCCAATGAGCACTGCGGAGTACAAGTACCTGTGCACCTGTACAAATGGTGCTCGAATAATTTGATATTATTGCCGAAAAATAAAGATAACAGAAGTATTATCAATTTGAAAATAAATGTGGAAATATGCGAAGCCAAGTATAAGAAATTTGATAATGTTGAAAAATTGAATACCTGTAGTGTAGAGATTCATAGAATGTCCTCCAACGTACCTGCCTTAACTTTTTTGGCACTCGACATTTATAAATTCCATGGAATATGATGCTAAATATTTTAACAAGAAAATGGATGTGAATCCACACGTCCTGGAGAATTTGAAGAAAGAGATGGAAGTGAGAGAAAATAAAACGATGAAAATCCGAATTAATTGCTTGCTAAAGCTGTGTCAGATAATACTTTTTTTTTTTGGTAAAATTTTGTGATAGTATTCTGAAGAAAATCTTTTTATACTTAACAATTATGCAATGTACATGAAGGTTAGTTAAGTCGGCATCTAAGCAACTTAACAACAAAATATGTTTTATTGAATTCAAATTGCAAGCCAAGTGAAGTGTGGAGAGGAAGGAAGAAGAAGAAGAAGAATTCAAATTCCAGGACGCTGCTAAGTGCAGTGAGGCCCTTTCTGCAGAGAAGAAGTATTTTTTTTTATGTCGTATAATTTTATTCACAATCTGTTCATCAATTTGATTGAGTAAATTTAAATGGTAACTTTCCCGGTTGATAGTTATAATGGTAACTATCCATGAACTTCAGTAGTATATTGATGCTCTGCGATATCACTATTTCCTTTGACTGTGAATCTGCTGCTATCCTTAACACAGTCATTGTCCATCGACTTGGCTGAAGAAGGTCCATATGCTGAACCTAATTTATTTGACCTATTTATTTGATCTATTGCTGAAGCAACGAGAGGGCTCACAAGGCCCAGAATTCGAACAGGCGCCCTCGAAATCGTGGGTAGGGCGATTTAACTATTCCGCTATTAGTCGCCTAACTCTTACTTTATGAAGAAATTCAACAAAATGAGGAGCGAATATACATTACGCAAGGATAGAAAAGTGAATAAGGAAGATAACAAAGGGATGTTTATGCGCTCATATTCTATTGATGTTACAAAACTCCACATTTGATAAAGAACTTAATCTTTAAGGCGTATGATAAACATTTCATTAATTGTTATATGAGAGTATTTACTAAAAATACTACTTTAAATAAAAAAAAACAATTGAACATTATTTTAGTATAGTTTAAATATATTTAATATAAAAATACAATCATAGACTTTTACAAAATAAATTATTTATATACAATATATTACAAAAACTACAAAATCAAATAGAATATAATGCAATTTACAAAGTTATTTGCCA